AATGGGTGTTCTAGACATATGATGAGACAAATCACAATTCTTGAACCTTGAGGCAATAGAAAGAGGAACGGTGATTTTTAGTGACAATGCAAAAGTTCACAGGTATTGGCAAAGTAGTTAAGAATTCTGATTTAATTATAGAAAATGTTTGACTTTGATGCTATCTTGGTATTATCTTTTGTCTACTGCATTTTACTTATTTGTATGTTTCTTTTTGCTAATGACAAAAAGGGGGAGAGGAACTTAAATGAAAATTATATTTATTACTTGTTTGTGCAATTCCTATTGAAACTTAGAAGCATATTTTGAGGGGGAATTTACATACACCTGTTATCTTTATTATTTTAAGGAATTTGTCATCATAAAAAAGGGAGAGATTGTTAGGTTTTCTTTGTATTTTGATGATGATTTAAAACCATAATTCAAAAGAGTTTAATCTATTTTTGTGCTAAGTGTGCAGGAAAATTAATCCAAGGTTTCTAATCTTTCCCCACGATTAGAATTAATTCATGATTCTCCTTGTTCAGAATTCTAGGTTTGAACCAATTTATTTTGGTTCGAATCAATCTCGAACTTTTGTTTTCTGAAAATGGTTCGAACCATTATTTCTGGTTTCGAAGCAAAATTCTAGAAGGGTAAATTTTGATAGCTCAACTATCCGTTTATTTTTATTTTTAATGGGCCTTGGGGGAACCAATTGTCTGAGCACTTTCCAAAGTCAAGTAAAAAATAATAAAACAAGGTGGAATCTAATTGGAGCTTTTGGAGGTGGCTTTGAAGGGACTTTAATTGCAAGGCTCCAAATCTCTATTAAAATGGTCAAAAATTCAGATCTGAAAAAAGAGAGAAGAAGGACGAACTGCTACAGAAACTGAGTTTGATATTGTTCTGAGTTTCCTTCTTCTTTTCTTCTTGTGAGCTTTTGGGTATATTGTCTTACAAGGGCTTTGTATTCTTCTTGGATTAGGTTAATTCTTGAAATGGTTGAGTGAGTTGAGATTCACTTGTGAGGGTTTAATCTTGCACCCGCAAGCCAGAGTTTGTTCCGGTTTAATCTTGCACCCGTAAGTAAGAGATTTTTAGTGGATTGAACTCTCGAGCAAGGAGACTTGGGAAGCGGACGTACTTCGGGTTGGAGGAACCACTATAAATCATGGCTTGATTTTCTCTTCCCTCTCTTTTATTTTTCTGCACTATATTACTCTTGTTTGTTCTATATAACAGCTTATAAATTGCAAATTTGATTTAAGTCTTGAAAGAAAAAGAAACAAGTTTTTAAGTATAAATTGATAAGACCCAATTCACCTCCCTTCTTGGGTAGCTAGCTGGGATTACAATGAGGTGTGTAGATCTTTGAGCGTGATTGACATGTGTGAGATGCTCACTTGGTGTGTTATCAATGAGTTTGAGCATAGCAACTAAGTTGGTTTTATTTTGCTGGGTTTTTAATGTATTTTGGTAGTCAACAACTTAAGTAATTTAGTATTTATCTCTTTCTATTGAAAGTAAGAAGTTTTGAGTTCGAGTCATATGACATGTGGGTGGGATGAAATAAAAGATGAGAGATGATTGTCTCCTATTGTACAACAAAAAAAAAAAAAGTATTTTGGTTTAAATCCTAATCCATGAGATGCGAATAGGCTGAATATCATGTGTGTAGAATCTGTAGATGTTATATGGCTTGGTATTTACTTGATCAATTTCCAAAATACCTTTTGTTCTCTCACTCAAAATTTGTCTCAAATTTATTATTGTTTTCTTATTATATAAGGTAAACAAATATTTTGTTATATTTTAATTTTATTGTTATTAATTAACTTTAATTATTTATCTTATCGTTAAAATATTTTATTTATCTTTAAGTAAATGTAAAAAAATCTCTAAATTCTTAATTTGTGAAAAATGTTAAAAAATTTTAAATTACTGTTATTTTAGGATAAAAGAGGTATAAATAACATTTCAAATTTCAGTTTGTTGAAAATTGGCTCCAGTAATTAAGGAATTATTTAAACCATGCTGAGAGTGCATATTTAAATCTCTGTAACAATGCTTGTCATTACTGATGTAAAGCTTTATCTAATATTTATGGATACAACAATTTGCAAAGTGCATATAAAATTAGTTGAGCAAAAGCTTGAACATGTGTGAACGTTTAAAAGAAAAAAAGCATAAAAAAGATAATGATAGATGTGTGCCACGATAACAACCCAAAGCTATATGGAGGATGCAAACATATGTAAGTGAAACATGTAAAATGAATAAAGTGGTCAACAACAATCCTCTTCTTCCATCAATAATTCTCAAAATCTTTGGGATGGGATTATTTAGATTTTCATGGCCTTCTACACGTAAATTGCTCATTTGTTGTAATAGGCAGGAGTGATCTTTGCACATCATTTTTCTATACCGATCAAAAAAATATTTCTCAAAATGTAGAGATATAAAAAATGCAATTTATATACTTAAATAGTTTATTTAAGGATTGTTTGATATAATAATTTAAAATTAGCGATTAATAATTTTATTTAATTTAATAATTAATAATTAGTATTATTAATTATTCAAATACGTACTTTTATCCATTAAATTTACATTATGTTTGGTTAAAAATGAATGAAAGGGAAAAATATTTTTTGACCAATTAAATTTGTAATATTTAAAAATATTATAATTTGATTATTTAGAAAACTTTCCTTTTCTTTTTTCTTACATCCATTCCTTTTAATCTAAATATACTATAAATGAAATAACTAACCATTAATTTTAACCTATTATACCGAGTGGTCTCTTAGTTGGTTATTAAAACAAAAATTATTTGAATTAATATTCCTAAATCTATGAATGATTCGAAGTTT